GGCGGTTGGCAACGGCAATGGTCTAAACTGGCTTAACTCTTTCTCAGCTGTTCCAGGGACACGAACCTGCTCCTACTGTCCCAGACTGATAGATGAAGAAAACAGATTTATGGTACTTGGGCTGCACCGTTGGGTGTTCGATGCACCTTAGGAATCTGGCCAAGTCTTGCTCAGACCAGTGGATCTGATGCATGTCCAAGAGCATGTCCCAAGGTTAGACTCTTGGGAGCGAATTCCAGACACAGCCCCTGCTGCTAGACAATCCAGAGAAGTAGCTACAATTCTCAGCAATGGGGGTGTTTGTTCCATTCTAGGTGTTTTAGGTACTTATTGGGTCCCCGTTCCCATAATACGAGCGCTTCACGATCCGTCCTGTATTTATCCATCCCAACACCCCTGTGGGTGATTCACTCCCCACCTCTGTGCCTCAGTTTCCCCTTCCACCTACAGGGTAGGGCAGGGCTATTATCCACAATGGACTGGGGGGGGGAGGAAACTGAGGCAAAGAAAAATAAAATGACTCTCCCAAGGTCACAGAGGAAGTGATATGCATCCGAAGAAGTGGGCTGTAGTCCACGAAAGCTTATGCTCTAATAAATTTGTTAGTCTCTAAGGTGCCACAAGTACTCCTGTTCTTTTTATGGAAGAGCAGGCTCCCGAACACAAGTCTTAAGGTAATGCCCTAACCCCTGGACCATACTTCCACTCCAGGAACAGGAAAGTAGAGCAAACGGCTGCTTCCTTTGCCTGCCTGGACAGGCGGCCTAAACCGCAGCAGGACTGAAATCCACACCAAAGCCCAGCGTCGTGAGGGAGGAATCCTTGCAGTCAGAGACGGCAAGAGCCGTCCAGGGAAACAGAAACCCGAAGAGCGAGCGGAGCTGCGATCACCTTCCCTGGATTAATACCTTATGTGCAACTCTGGCATTGCTCCAACTACCTTCTTTCTTTCCCCCCCTCTCTCTAATAAAATCAAGCTTTCAGGAGATATTTTTAAGCTACTGATCAGTGACGCCTGTTGAATCTATTAAACTGGGGGCCAGAAGAACGGGAATGCTCTAATGGAAATGGACACGCTTCCTGCAGTGTAGTTTAGTCCAGTGATTCTCAACCAGGGATACATGTGCCCCGGGGGGTAGGCAGAGCTCTTCCAGGGGGTCCATCAACTCATCTAGGTATTTGCCGAGTTTTACAACAGGCTACGTAAAAAGCACTAGCGGAGTCAGTACAAACGACAATTTCATACAGACAATGACTTGTTGATGCTGCTTTATATACCATCCACGGAAACGTAAGTACAATATTTATATTCCAATTGATTTATTCTATTATGTGGTAAAAATGAGAAAGCCAGCCATTTTTCAGTAACCGTGTGCTGTGACACTTTTGTCTTGTTATGTCTGATTTTGTGAGCAAGTGATTTTTAAGTGAGATGAAATTTGGGGTACGCTGTCAGACTCCTGAAAGGGGGACAGTCGTCTGGAAAAGTTGAGAGCCCCTAGCCTACTAGGTAGGGCACGGGACTGGGACGTAGGAGACTTGCCTTCTACTCCCAGCACTGCCACTGACCTGGTGGGTGACCTTGGGTAATTCACTTTCACCGCCCACTGTGTCCATTTAGACTGTAAGCTCTTTGGGGGCGGGGACCGTCTCATTCTGTTTGTACAGCCCCTAGTACAGTGGCGTTCCAACCCAGGCCAGGCCTCCCAGATGCTCCTGTAACACAGATAAGTAATAATAATAGCAGTGAACCCTGCTCGAGTTTGCAGCTTGTTCGTTAGACAGCTCGTGCTTCTAGCCCACCCTCTGGATCACTCCCACTGAGATAAATCAGAAATGATATTGCAGATGATGATATGCAGCTCTGGGAGCGGGGCCATCCTCCATCGGTTCTGCTTACCAGCCAAGGAACAAGATGTTGACACAGTAAGACAAGCAGGAGCCCCCGTGGAATACGTCAATATTCCACATGTCAGCGTAACGCTCATTTCAAGAGAATTCTGCACTCTTGGGACAATCCCCCAGCGCTGTCAGCAACGCGATCTCCACACCAAGGAGACGGCAACGGCACAAGGTCAATTTGCCTTTAGACACCATGTTAAATTTGACCCCCCCCTCTTCAAACGAGTGCTCTCAGATGTCATGCTAAGAAAGATTAATAACGCACGACGCCTCCCCGGAGACCACCTCCAGGAAGGATGGAATCCACAGCCCAGCCTCAGACAGCGCAAAGAGCAGCCAAAGTGGATTTCCTGGGAACCTGGCAAGACCTCCAGGGGCAGTTTGATGGACACATGCCAGAGAAGGTTTCGTACACAGGCCGCCTGCCAGCTGCCAATGAAAAGGGCAGGGTGTATCTTCGAGACATCTCTTCCCCCCCAGGAAAAGGACAAAAGAATTTGGGGGGAGCCTTTGCAGGAGAAGGGCGTAAAGCCCCCAACTCATCTGGTGAGCAGAAGAAAGAGCTAGGTCAGTGGTCCCCAAACGTTAGAGGGTCATGCCCCTCCTTACCCTTCCGTAACCCCTCTCCACCCCAGAGCTAGGTCTGGCTGCTCGTGTATGTGGTGTGTGTGTGTGTGTGTGTGTGTGTGTGAGTGAGATTAAGAGGGCTGCAGCTGGGGGTCGGTCTTGGGTGAGGCCAGAGCCACCGCCTGGGGCAGAGGCTGGGGGGCGGGAGCGGAGCTGCAGCGGGAGACGGGGTCGTGGCCAGGTGCGGCTCCACTCCTGGCCCCCACCGGTAACATGCCAGGGTCCCAAGAACTGCACCTAGTTTGCATGTATATTTACATAATATTAAAATAAATGAGCCCAACCCCCAATATTCACTGTAACTCCCTTAATAGCGATTGCAGATGGATTGAGGGCACCGGGACTACAGCTGTTCTGCTACAGCCCCACCTGTTGCTGCAAGGCAAAGGGGTGACCAGGAGCTGTGTTTTAATACTGTGGGGCCACATGTAGATTGCACACCAGACTTTGAGGAGTCCTGTTCCACAGTCATCCCTGTCTAGCTGTGGGCGTATGGCCGGCTTCCTAGCTGCAGCCAACAATTTACATCTCAGAGGATCTCCAATTGCTTTACAAACTTCACTGTAGGATCACATCATCCCTGGTAGGAAGGAAAGGGCTGTGCAAGTGTAGGGATTACTGAATTGCAGCCACCTCTGGGGTGGATCCCAGCAGCGGTTTAACAGAGCACAGTAACGCCCCCGGCACTTTAGAATAGGAAGTGAAGAATATAACACCCAGTAGAAACCACAGGAGAGAAATGGGGTAGGCAGAATAACTACCAGAGAGGAGCGTCAGGTCACTGGAGTTAACCCCAACTCTTACACCAAGTACCGTGAGATCTTTAAGTGACAATAGCCAGGGTCTGAAGTGTGAGCCTTGTCCAACGCCTACTGTCCCCCATGCTGTGTTTTAGCCATTGGGACATATTGGAGGTGGTGGATACAGCATGTTTTCGGACATTTCGAATTCTGACCAGGAGTCGGAGACTGGAAACTGGCACCCAGGAAAGTTTCTGCATCTTAACCCAGACTCTCCCAAGTGGCTCAGAAGCCTGCCCCTGGGCTGTTTAACATCCAGCCTGCACTGGAAAACTGGCAGGAATATAAATACTGAGAATTTATCCTCAGCCAGCCACCTGCCCCTGCCAACCTTTTCTATTTCTCTTTACCACTAGGACACAGATGGCTGCAAGTAAACTCAGCTGTAGTGGAGTGAGCCAGTCCCGTGTGGCAGGCTTGAGTAGGGGAATGGAGTCAGCTGGGACCACACAGCTCGCGTTCCCTACAGCCCTCCTTCAATCAGAAAAACGATCTCACCATATGTAAGAAGGAGGAGGCCCATTCCGACCACAGAGCAAATCTCTGCCATGTCGCTTATCAGCCAGTTGCAATTACCATCTGTTTACCTTAGCAGAGGCCAGGCTGCATTAAAAGGGCAATCGCTGCATCTCATTATGTCAACAAAAGCGGCTGCCCCCATTGCGCTCTGGGGACTGCATCCCGCTACCAGGCCATACTCAAAGAAGAGACCTCCCTGCTTGTAGCGCATATTAACGATCACAGGAGCCATGCCAAATGGAGTCCAGCTGAATCCCCCTTGCTGCTGGACAGCAGCTGCCCTTTCGCTGCGAGGAAACTCAGCCGGTAAGTCTGCAGGGCATGAAGAGTAACACGCAGCTAGACGGAAAGCGTTCCCAGGGGCCCAGAGCGGACCTGCGAGGGCCTTCAGCCAGCGAGAACGCAGACTTAGCAAGTCAGGCTCTTCCATTGACCTGATCTGACCTGCTGCCGTCAATGACTGGACTTAATGCCAGGCAGCAGGGAGGGAGGGTTAGTAGGGAAAGGACAAGGAGGGAGATAAGCCAGGCTCTGCCACAGGAGCCCATGGCAAGCCTCCGAGGGGACCATTTTCAAAAAGTGCCTCTTGACTTAAAAGCCCGTGTTCCGTTTTCTAAAGCGGCGCCCGAGTCCCACTGGCTTTCAAGGGGACTTCAAAACTGTTACCCGCACTTCTCCGCATCTGTGTTTGCCCACCTGTAACATGGGAAATAAGTGTCACCCCGCCCCGCAAGATGGGTCCGTGCGTAAACGCCAGATCTTCGGGGGAACGGCCCACAGGGCGTGCAACAGACATGTACCCGCTTCCCGATTACGGAGGCTGCGGTTCTCATGCCGTGAGCAGCGCAGGATTTGGGGGTCAGCTCACCGGTGCCGTCGCCTGGCTAAGCGCTGCTCAAGGACGACTCCGTTAGCTCCTGCTGCCCCTCCCACAACGACGAGCCAGACCTTGTGGCCCTTAGGCCAGATGTGCCAGAGCAGCCGAGGGAATTCTGCATTCCTTCCCCAAGCCAAACAGACGGCAGGGGGTGGGTCAGCAGTCAGCTACCCTCACGATGGACGAAGCAACAGCAACTCACCCCTACTCCAGAAGCACCGCTGGGTAGCTGGAATCCAGCCCTCCCGCGACTGCCGATGCAGCTGCACAGACACTCACCATTGAAGTATATTTAATACTTACAAAAGGGGGGGGGTGATATTTCAAGGTATAAAAAGGACAGTAGGAAAAGCGGCCCAGGCTAACTGCTAAGACAAACGACGAACAGCAAAGACATGTGTAAGTCAGGTGAGCAGCGACTCCACTCTTACTCTCTTGGCTGCTACGGGACTGTGGCCTGAGCCAGGACATTCCTGCTTCAGACCGTCACAGTGCTCCTCGCGTGCCGTGCCGAGCCCCGGGCGTATCCCGTCAGCCCCCTCTGCCGTGCCATTGTGGTGGGAGCAGGGTTCTTCCTTGGCTGGGCGCTGAGCGTCCGGGTCGAGTTTTAGGGCTGGTTCGGGCTTCACAAGCTCAGAACTCTCCACCACCGCCGGCCCCGTCCACTCGGGGATCTCCAGACCAAGCTGCTTCATCAGCTTTGTCATGACTTCATCCACGTAGCCGTGGATGCGCAGGTCGGCTTGCCGGTCCTAGGGCCAAGAGACAGGAAACCAGCTCAGGGAGCGGACGTCTCTCCAGCCTTAGCACTTACGTGTGCATCCAGAGGGCAGGAGCCTTTCAGCTCTACAACACAGGCCAAAATCCAGGCCAGCTCTGGCTCCACCGGGGGGAGGGATAGCTCAGTGGTTTGAGCCTTGGCCTGCTAAACCCAGGGTTGTGAGTTCAATCCTTGAGAGGGCCATTTAGGGATCGGGGGCAAAATCAGTACTTGGTCCTGCTAGTGAAGGCAGGGGGCTGGACTCGACGACCTTTCAAGGTCCCTTCCAGTTCCAGGAGATAATATATAATATATGGAGATATCTTATTAACTCTGGATCACCATCCAACAGCTTTCTGGTCGCCCAGATGACAGGAGCTGGTGATCTCTTATTAGAGAAGCCCCAAATGCAGTCTGGGGGCCACAGGCCCCTAACATACGGCTGCTCTCTCCCCGTTACGGCAGGCGGAGGACAAAACTGACCAGCCTCAGGGGAATTCCAAACACCAATTTGAGGACTCTCTCAAGGGAGATCTGACCCCAAGGATTTCGCTCTGGTTTTCAAGGGCTCTGTGTGCACGTGTGAATTGGGCGAGGCCCTGCAACTCCTAGCAATTTGCATCACACCTGGGTTTAACTCTCAGCTCCGCACTGGCCAGGCAACATTTGGGAGAGATTTCAAAACCGTCCCTACGATTATCGCGCTGCAGAAATAAGGCGTGAGCTGGCGGTGTAAGGAGGCGGGATTATTCCTCCTGGAGTTTAAGAGACAGGTGTCTGTGTGGATTTCAGGAATACACCCCTGGGAAGTGCTGAGAATCACCCTCAACACAGCTAGAAATGCAGAGCCCTTCAGCCAGGATGTGACAAGGTCCAGAAGCTACACAGCCTGGGGGAGGCCCAACAGCAGAGTAACCTCATTAACACACGGTGGTCTTCAGGCAGGCCACTGTAACAAACATCCTCATGTCTCTGGTCAGGAGGGAAGTGACCAGCAGCACTATGGGCCTCTATATTATTTTGGGGAGGGGGGACAGGGGGCTCTGAGGTGGGAAACATGTCGAAATAGACTGTTTGAATCACTACAGAAAGAGTTCTGTAGGGAAGACACCTGCACTGACTGGGACAGGGACTAGATGACCCGAATGGTTTTTCCCCCCACCTCTAACCTTGATACACTTTGAGGGTCTTAGAAACAAACTGCCTTGGTTATGTAACAGGATTCTAATGAGGGTATTCGAGGGAGGTCGGAACATAAATAGAACTGGTCAAAGTCTATAGTCTCGCAGCAAGGACTTAACTCGGGGGGGTTAATTAACACTCAGGATTCCAATTCACCTGGGGATACATGAGGGGTTTTGATCCCACCGGAAGGTTTATTTTTAATCAAAGATCTAAGGTCTTTAGCGATGGGGACCCAGCATGTTTACTTACTAAACTAGGTTGATTTCTTCTAGCTGGCACTGTAAGCAGGCCGCCTGGCTCCTGGACTGACCCACTTTTGCAGGATTCAATCAAGCACCCGCAAGTGCTGGAATAAAACCAACGCCTGTCAGATTATAGTTGGGCAGCTCTGAGCTCAAGGCGCCAGTCAAAGCATTTGAACTCACGTGCTTCGTTGCTTGCAGATTTACTATGACCAGCTTCCCTCCTTTCCTTTTAGTGAGCAGCGGGAGATTGCCACTGGGTTTGATCTGAAGAGAGGTCCCCAGAGTGACTGATAGGTCAGCTTTCCTGCAGGCGGAAAAAAAAAACCAGCGAGAACTCTTGGAAGGGAACAGAGCCAGTCTCAATGACTGAAGTCCCCTTCTCTAAGGGGACAGTAGGCCAGACTCCCGCCACGTCTTACTGCCCCTCTGACGAGCCATACGGTACAAGTGTCATCATAAACTGCATCTCAACTTCGGTTCAGAATTGGAACCTGTGAAATCAGGGAACAAAACCCCATTTGAAATGATGCGCAACAGACTTTACTTCAGACCGGCAGCTCTTGTGGGCAGGGACTCTCTCTCTTCTGTGTTTGTAAAGCGTCTAGCACGGGGGTTCTCAAACTGGGGGTCGTGACCCCTCAGGGGGGTCGCGAGGTTATTACATGGGGGGTCGCGAGCTGTTGGCCTCCACCCCAAACCCCGCTTTGCCTCCAGCTTTTATAATGGTGTTAATATATAAAAAAGTGTTTTGAATTTAAAGGAGGGTCGCACTCAGAGGCTGTGTGAAAGGGGTCACCAGTACAAAAGTTTGAGGACACAACGGGATCCTGGTCACTACGCCAGTATAAATAATAACAACGAACCAGGCCTTGGAAAGTCTTGTCCACCCAGCCCCAGCAGCAACAATTAAATGTCCTTTCATTTCCTCCCACGTACTGTCCCTTTATACTGTAAGATCTGTGAGGCAGGGACTTATTCACCTGGCACTAGTCACTTAATGTACATTGCTACGTCCTCTTAAGATGCTTGATCAATAATAAGGAACGAGACCCAGGAAATATCCTTCCCTCTAGGGGAATACCACAAGCACCTGGGATCATCCAACCACCAGCTCACTCGCAAAAGCGGCTGGTTTCTGAATGTTGCATTTACCCCGCTATCTGCAAAGCCTTTTGATGACAGGCCAGGTACAATCTCTGTCTCCAGAGGAAAAGGGGATCTGCTTAGGGGATGCGCTCAATACACTTTATTCTTCTTTGACCCCTGGAATCCAATAGTAACACACTTCCATTGCAATTTAGAACTCTGGCCAGCTACAATCATCCTTAAGGATTAGACAGGGTTAAAATTCTGGAACAAAAGGGCAGTGAACTGGGAATGGCAGGTCAGGTTCCAAGTATCTGAACAGCCTAATTCATCCCAGCAGACGGCAAGAAGCTCGGAGAGGTCTCACAGCAACAGCTTTCATGCTGAACCAGTTCTCAAGTGGTTTTACTGAAGTACCAGGTGTTAAACAAAAGGGGGCCAGGACACAGTGCTGTGGAAAGCAATACCTGCAGGCGTCGTCTGCTAGGCTGAGGTCCCGATCAGGCAGAGAATCTTCCCAGTCTAAAATGGTGTCTATTAACTTTCCTCTGGAAAAAGAAAAATCCAACAGGAAACAGGGTTAGCTTTGGTCTCAGACAAGGCAAAAAGCCGGGACCCAACTGCAGAGCTGCCGAGGAGAGACTGATCAAACAACACTGGGCCAGTTCAGATTTACTGGCTCTTGAGTTCCATATCCAATTAGCTCCATGTGAAAGATGGATTTTCTAACTCCTGCCTGCATAAGTTCAGCAGGGGATCTGAGAGTCAAGCTGAGTTCAGCAAACAAGTTTCTGTGGGGCAGATTCTGCCCTCAGTGACACCTGTGAAGCCCAGAGGTCAGAATGTGGCTCTGCAACGGAGCTTTGTTAACAATTCTGTGATGATGGGTGAGCTGGAATGGAGGCCATGAGACTGACTTTCTGTTGCTCTGGACAATGTGCAGTCACTTAAACCAGTCCATACTGGTGCAAAGAGCTAAGTCAAAACGGTGGTATCCTACACCCAGTTTGCACTGGTGTAAATGATCCTAGGAGGCAGACGGGCGGGCGGCGGAATAGCTCAGTGGTTTGAGCGTTGGCCTGCTAAACCCAGGGTTGTGAGTTCAATCCTTGAGGGGGCCACTTAGGGATCTGGGGCAAAATCAGTACTTGGTCCTGCTAGTGAAGGCAGGGGGCTGGACTCGATGACCTTTCAAGGTCCCTTCCAGTTCTAGGAGATGGGATATCTCCATTTATATTTAAAAAAAAAATGGTGCATGTGGAGAATCAGGCCCATGCTCTCTTGCCCAGACCTACGTTCGGTTAACAGGAAGGAGCAGCAGTAAGAACTGCGTCACTGAAGATAGCAAGTGCATGTGAAATGCACACAGAGCAGATTGTGGATGCCAATTTCACAGAGCCACCTTTCCAGCCATGAGCCCAGGTTACGATGAAAATCACATTGCAAAGAATCTCCCCCTTAAAGCTGAACAATTAAAAACAAAGCTCCTCGTTAAATATAACTAATGCAAGCAGCAACAAGACAGAGTGGAATCCAATATACTGCTACAGGAGAGAGAATGCCCCTCACAACACAGCAATCACACAGTGCAGTGCACTCCAGCCAAATGGACCCACATGTAGCCAGTATTCAGGGAGCAACAGAAGGGGGAGATTTTCAAAGGGCACCTAGGAACCCAACTCCCATTGACAGATGATGTGACTCGGGTGCCGAGCTCCCATTTGTACCTTTGAAGATCTCCTGCACAGTCTCTGCTTCTCACAGGAGAGAGTTTAACAGACTGAACCTGACCTGAGAGGGTTTAAGTGTAGGAGCTCACCCACTCCTAACACAGAGACGCAAACGTGAGCCGTTGGCCCTTCCTTGAGTACTTAGAGGAGCCCTCCAGGTACGCTCGGACTGCGCCATGTGGTAAAAACCAAAGACACACACAACCAGGAAATGGTGGAGTCCAGGAGTTTCATAATTGGTACATTTCTGCAGGATGCAATTCTGCCCTTCCCTTCCCCCAAGGCTGTCATTACAGGATACATACCGGCAGGCACGAAGCCCTCTTGCTTTGGAGACATCGCACAGCCTGCCTGTCGGCTTGAGGCCCATGCTGCCCACGACAACGTCCCGCACGTACTGCCTTCATATGCAATGAGAAAGGAGGCAATTCAGCGTGCGAGACAAAACCCAAGTCTGTTCACAGCAATTAGCATGCAAGTGCATAGATAAGAAAGACGCTAGAATGCACCAGCCAGGTTCTAGACCAGGGATCGGCAACTTTTGGCACACAGCCCGTCAGGGAAATCCACTGGCGGGCCGGGACGGTTAGTTTACCTGCAGCGTCCGCAGGTTTGGCCGATCGCAGCTCCCACTGGCTGCGGTTCGCCGTTCCAGGCCAATGGGGGCTCCGGGAAGCAGCATGAGCTGAGGGATGTGCTGGCCGCCGCTTCCCACAGCCCCCGTTGCCCTGGAACGGCGAACCGCGGCCAGTGGGAACTGCGATCGGCCAAACCTGCGGACTCTGCAGGTAAACAAACGGTCCCGGCCCGCCAGCGGATTTCCCATATGGGCCGCATGCCAAAGGTTGCCGATCCCTGTTCTAGACCATGCGACTGAGTGGAAGATATAAAGGCAGAAAACACATTGAGAATCATAAAAACGAGGAGTCCGGTGGCACCTTAAAGACTAACAGATTTATTTGGGCATAAGCTTGCCTGGGTAAAAAACCCACTTCTTCAGCTGCATGGAGTGAAAATGACAGATACAGGCATAAATATACTGCCCTAAAATATACAGGCATAAATATACTGAGAATCATGCCCCTTTGGTGCCAAGAGAAGCTGGAGACGAACATTATTGGCCAGATCCCTCCCCAGTGTAACTAGTGAAGTAAACAGTTACACCAGGGATCAGTCTGTCCCTACACCATATTTCTACCCGTGGCAATCTCCCTCTCAAGGAGTTTAGAGCAATAACTTCAGAATTTAGGATTTATATTTCCTAGAAGCAAAAGGCAAAATCCAGACCACTGTGACTTCTCATTCTTATTTGGCAAACACGTACAAAACCTTGCGACATGGAGAGACCACTGATATTTAAACTGAGGCATGACCAATATGATGAACAGATTACAGGAACTGTGAGGATCTTCTATGGGGGCACGAGTTAATGGTCTCACACTAAGTGGCAAGATGTAAGTGTTTATTCAGGATTTGTATGGAACGGATTTGCTCATATCGCATGCCCTGAGCTCTCTGCATCATGGGCTTATCTGCCAGAAGCTCACGTGGTGATCAAACTTGACTCACGCTAGAACCAACAGTTAGATAACGGAATCCAGAACTGCAGGGACCATCTGTACCCCGGAGACACACCCAAGGGGCACGATGCCTCTCAGCAGCACGGCAGTGGAGAGATTCACTCACGCTGCCTTTTTACAAACGAGTGTGCCTTGCCCGGCAGGGATGACATACTTGCCGCATTTCACACATTCCTCCACAAACATGTTCCCGTGCAGCTCGGACAGCTTGTCCCTGCAGAAGAAACGGCAAAGATTAACGGAAACCCGGAGGCAACGCTGCCCCTTGGTGACTCAGGCTGGTCAAGAGACTCTTATTTACAGCGGTTGTGGCTGCATCAGGCCCACACGGTCTCTAGTTAAGGTTTTGACGACGTCTAGCTCGGATGAAAGGGGTTGTTCTGGATGAAACACTCCTGTGCTGGCAGGGATCGGGCCATGGGGCCCGAAGGTTTCTGTGATGGCCTCGCCATAGGTTGAGTCTCCCTAAAGGTGAGCCATCTCCTACTGGCACCCTCAGCGTTGCTGCCAGTTTCCCACAGCTCCCCAAAACCAAATAAACCCACAAGCCTAATCCAACGCAGCTGATGGGATTCCCTTTGTTAGCGTATTGACTCCTAATAAAGAATAATGTGTCTTTTTATGTAGGTTTTTGTATTGTGGTAGCATGTAGGAGCCCCAGTCCTAGATCAGGCCCCCACTGTGCTAGGTGGTGAACAAAGGGAACAGAGAGAGACTGTCCTGGCCCTAAGGAGCTCACAATCTAAGTAGGTTCAGAGGTAAAGCCAGCAATTCTGTAAGTTCACCACCACCACCACAGTTCCCACTCTAGCGGCTACCGTAATACAACTAATAGCAGCACCAACCAAAATCAGGGTGCTCTGTGCACGCATCTAGTGAGAGAGCCCATGCCCCAAGCATTTACCATCCAAATAGACAAGGGATGAGAGGGGGAAACAGGCGATGAGAGGGGAAGTGACTTCCCCAAGATCACAGTAGGCAACTAGCAGAGCCAGTAATACAACCCCGGTTTCCTGCCTTCCAGGGCAGTGTCCTATCCACTAGGCGGGGGCTCTCAAGCGGTGGTACACGTCCCACGCATGGTACCTGGGCTTGACATTCCAGCCATTCACTTCACCGTTTTTTGAGAAGGTGGCACATGAACCAGTGACGTCAGGGAGCCACTGCACAAAACCATCCCGCATCTAAGTAGTTGGGCCTCCTGCCCTTTGGTACGTGGCCGCCGATACAGATGATGCACGTTTACCCACCTGCTTGCTCTTTCAGCACCTAGCCCAGGATGACGTTTCACCCAAACCAACCCAAATGCACCAAGACATGCTTGACTAAGGCTAAAAGTGGGCCTTAAAAAGACAACGTCTAGAATTGAGCTGTACTGTTTTCCATGATTACACGGCCACCATTTCAATGTAACAACCTGTGGCACAGCGTCACACCCCACACCAGCGGTACAATTTTCACTGTGAAATGCTAGAGGAGAAGGAAGGAGGAGTTTCAGATTGCATGCACAAGGAGGGGCCAACCTGAGCCTGAGAAGGAGCCAGAATTTACCAATGTACATTGCCAAAGAGCCGCAGTAATACGTCAGCAGCCCCCCATCAGTTCCCCCACCCTGCTCCTAGCGCCTCCCGCCCGCCCCGATCAGCCCCTCCCTCTCCCTCCCCGCACCTCCTGATCAGCTGTTTCGTGACATGCAGGAGGCTCTGGAGGGAAGGCGGGAGGAGTGAGGGCACGGCAGCCTCAGGGGAGGGGGCGGGAACGGGTGGAGTGGGGGCAGGGGCTGAGCAGTGAGCACCCCCCGGCACTCTGGAAAGTTGGTGCCTGTAGCTCCAGCCCCGGAGTCGGTGCCTAGACAAGGAGACGCATATTAACTTCTGAAGAGCCGCATGCGGCTCCGGAGCCCTGGCATACACCAATCACGTTTCTGATTTCTTCCCCCGTTCTGGACCCGACCGGAGATTTTTATTTGAGATCACTAATGAAATGGGTCCACAGCTTCTCTGATTTTTTAAAATGATTATTATTTCGTCCTTGCAGGGTTCCACTTCTTTGGTGTTAATGACATCAAGAGATTTGCACTGAGACTGCGACGGTAGCGTCAACCTGATCTGTCAAGTACCTCGGAAACCACCTTCAACTGCTTCTGTAAGATCAGTGCCTCTTTGTAAAGTCCTTTGTTGTGGAAAGTGCATGATTTGTTCTGATCAAAGTTCCCCTTGTGCTCAGTACAACTTTCAACATCTGCTCGCCGGATGCCGATGTGAAGACGCAGCCTCCCTGAGTTCGGCAGTCAGCCGCTGGAAGCTGGGACAGCAACTACAAGGCTGACTGTAATATTTCAATAATTCTTCTGCAAGCACAACGTACGCAGTTAGGCTCCGGTTCAACAAAGCACTTAAGTGTATGCTTAAGTCACGTTGACTTCAATGGGCTTAAGTGCTTTGCTGAATCAGGGCCGTAGTGAAGTTTACATGAGCTTGTAACAGGGGGACAATCCCCTTAAGGGTAGTAGGGACAAGGAGGTTAGTCAACACCTGTTTTATGATGTGTCCCTTTAAGGTTCCTGAGATTTTTAGAGTGGACGAAGTGCAGGAGATGGGAGAGAGGAGGATGGTCCCAGAGGAATAGTTAATACTTGGGGAAAACCCAAGCTACTGTTTCTTTAAGGTCCTACTCTTCTTCCACTCTAGAAATCCCAGAAAACAGGTGTTGACTGACTCCTAGTTTCTACTACCCTGAGGGGGTATAATCAAGCTGTTACACCGCTCAACCCCCATGTAGAAGTAGTTTAGGATGACTGCTCCAGAAATATCACCTTTTCCCCCACGTAATTATCATTGTCTGGACAAGGCAAAGGCCTTTGTCATACTTTTCTCTGTATTCTTGGATAATATCTTCAGCAACTTGGGCCTGGTCCACACTAACCCCCCACTTCCAACTAAGATACGCAACTTCAGCTACGTGAATAACGTAGCTGAAGCCGAAGTACCTTAGTTCGAACTTACCGCGGGTCCACACGCGGCAGGCAGGCTCCCCCGCCGACTCCGCGTACTCCTCTCGCAGAGCAGGAGTACCGGCGTCGACAGCGAGCACTTCGGGATCGATCAGGGATCGATTGATCGCGTCTAGACAAGACACGATAAATCGATCACAGAAGATCGATTGCTTACCGCCGGACCCGGCGGTAAGTATAGACGTACCCTTGGAAACAATATTCTTTTGAGGAGGAGGAGTGGTTCCCATATCAAAGGCAGGAATATTAAGTAGAATATATGGATGCATCCATATATGTTCAGGTCATTTCTCATATTAAACCAACCATCTTGCATTAAATGGCAACGTTAATTCTTGTGGTTCTTCCTGTAATTTTTCTTGTTTCTTCACTTACAATATTTAACTGTGAGCCTGCGCATTTAAGTCTGTCTGGAAAATATCCAGGGCAAACCGCTTCAATACTTCCTTCAAATTGCTCGGTTTTTGCTACATGGTGAAATTAGACTAAGAGAAGGCTGCAACCTTTGTCAAGTCAAGTCTTTGCCTTTCAGTTGTTTTCACGGCATAGCTACTGTTCGATCTTTGCCATTTCTGGCGTTGATGAACAGAGATTGCTCCTGAATTAAACGGATGGAAAGCCCAGCACTGGGACCAGAAAAGCATCTCGCGTGCAGGCTCAAACTCAACATTTTGCTTTTCCGCTTCAATGAGCAAAATTTCATTCAATAACCTTTGATCTTGAAGGAAAAAACAGATTTCCTGCACTCCAAGAGGAGCGTGGATGCTTTCTACTTATCATCGCTAGGCAGTGTGAATACTGTCAGTTAGACAGAATTGTGTATTTTCACTACTCCAGACACTTGTTTTCTACTTCCACTTCCTTCAATCTACCCATTTTTTGTCAGAAATTCACACATTGATATTTGGCAATTAGCGAGCATTTGCCATATTGATCAGTAGCTTTGACATTTACTTTAGCTAGGATGAGATTCTGCCACCTTCCAAATTCAATACTGAAGCTTAAAAATAAGTTGAGCCTACTAGCTTTGTACAGGACCACACCATTGGTTGTGTCCATGTTGGGGTAGGCAACCTATGACACGCGTGCCGAAGGTGGCACGTGAGCTGATTTTCAGAGGCACTCACACTGCCCGGGTCTGGCCACCGGTCCGGGGGGCTCTGCATTTTAATTTAAATTTTAAAAGAAGCAGCTTCTTAAACATTTTAAAAACCTTATTTGCTTTACATACAACAATAGTTTACTTCTATATTATAGACTTGTAGAAAGAGACCTTCTAAAAACATTAAAATGTATGACTGGCACGCGAAACCTTAAATTAGAATGAATAAATGAAGACTCGGCACAGCACTTCTGAAAGGTTGCCCGTGTAATCTAGATTCTAGCAAACCAAGCCCTAACAGTTCACAAGTTCACACATTTCCCTAACATGCAAAGACAGTTAACACCACCCTCTAGCCACACACCCCTCAATAACCAGATCTACAACCTATCCTGAAAGATGATCCCTCACTCTCACAGATCTTGGGAGACAGACCAGTCCTCGCTTACAGACAGCCCCCAACCTGAAGCAAATACTCACCAGTAATCGCACACCATACAACATAAACACTAACCCAGGAACCTATCCTTGCAACAAAGCCCGATGCCAACTCTGTCCACATATCTATTCAAGTGACACCATCATAGGACCTAATCACATCAGCCACGCCATTAGGGGCTCGTTCACTTGCACATCTACCAATGTGATATATGCCATCATGTGCCAGCAATGCCCCTCTGCCATGTACATTGGCCAAACCGGACAGTCTCTACGCAAAAGAATAAATGGACACAAATCTGACATCAGGAATCATAACATTCAAAAACCAGTGGGAGAACACTTCAACCTCTCTAACCACTCAGTGACAGACTTGAAGGTGGCAATTTTGCAACAAAAAACATTCAAAAACAGATTCCAAAGAAGAACAGGAGGACTTGTGGCACCTTAGAGACTAACAAATTTATTAGAGCATAAGCTTTCGTATAAAAGCTTTTATAAAGCTTATGCTCTAATAAATTTGTTAGTCTCTAAG